TTTCTATCACAGAACTACATCACTTTATAAATGATGGTCATTTTTAAGTGTTTGAGAGTCAATGTACAATGTATACAAATATTCAAGGCATGCATGATCTGGTTTTAGAACATTTTATTATATATATTTAATAAAAATGACTAAATAATAAAATATGAATGCATAAACAACTAGTACATGTATAAACACAATACTGTGCAGCCATACAAAAAAAATGATGTAACCAAATGTGGTGGCACATGCTTGTAATCTCAGCATTCTGGTTTGAGCAGCCTGGGCAGCTCAGAAATCTAGCAAGACTCTGTCTCAAAATTAAAAAAATAAAAATAAAAGGGACTGGGGATGTAGCTCAGTATGAGGCTTCTTGGTTTGATCCACAGTTTCAAAAAATGGGAGGGGGAGGGCATAAATAAGTATTGATAAATGTTACATGAATGAATCTAAAAAACATGTTAAGGGAAAGAGCCTGCATTCAGAAGGCCACATATTGTATGACTGGTATGATTCCACTTATTTGAAATATCCATGGAAATATAAAGCAGATCGGTGGTTACCAGCAGGGATGCTGGAGGAGTAACTTATTGAGGGTTTCCTTCTGAAGGTGATTTGAAAATGTATTAAAGATCACTAAATTGTCCATTTCAAAATGGTTATGTCAATTTCAGTTTAATTTTAAGAAAGACAAAAATGCCTATTACATAGAGTTCGAAAAGATAGAAGGCAAAGACCAATAAGCATGAAATTAAAACCTGATCTATTTCATAACTAAGATAATCAAATCAAAACTTTCTCTTGGTTTAATTATGGAAAGAGAAAAATAGTAATTGAATAATGAACAATGCTATGCACTTCCCTTCATTACTTTCTGTATGACAAACTTCAGTAAACTGAGTTTCCCTATAATGACGCTTCTTCAGAAGCATAAATAAATGTCAAAGAAAAAGTAAAGTGTCTGTCGGTTTTTTGTTTGTTTTTGTTTTTGTTTTTGTCACCAGGGATTGAACTCATAACCTTGCGTTTGCCAAGGAAGCACTTATGCCACTGAGCTAAATCCCCATCCCAAGCAAGGTGTCTTTTAATCTTAAAGAGAATATTACTTTACATAGCAGAACTAGTAACATAAAATGCTGGTTTCAGAAGTAAGAAGGACACGAGCATCACAAAACAGTACTACTCATCGCAGGCTAGACCTCTAAGCACTTCAGTGAAACCAAACTACTGTTTGAGATTTTTTTGGCTTACTTCTGGATGACACAGGTTTAATAACAATTAGAATCACTGAATTTCATTAAGTTGAAAGGTCAATTTAGAAATAAGGAACGATACATGACATTTTATAAGACTTAGATTTATCACATTCACACTGTTAAACAGTCATTACCACCTTACTTCCACAATTTTTCCATTTTTTCCAAATGTATCCACTATATATCTGTTAAAAATGTGTGTTAATACATGATCCTTCCTCAAGCTATTCTTTTTCTCTAAGTTTGGCTACCCTGGTTACCTCAAACAGTATTTTTCCTTCTGTATCTGGCTTTTATCACTTAGCATATTGTCTTCTATGTTCATCCATGGTTTTGCATGTGTTAGAAGTTCTATCATTTTTTAAGCATACTATATATACACACTACATTTTGTTCATTCATTCATCCATCAACGGACATTGCACTATTTCCACTTTCTGACTACTATGTTTAATAATCTTTATTATCAGGCAAAAAAGCATAAACAGTTCAAAATATTTGCATAGAGTGACTACAGAGTCAGTGTTCTTTAAGCAAATGAATAAAATTTTAGCAAAAAAATTTTTTGCATCAAGTAAGCTTAAAGTTACAAAATACAGAAAATGAAGAAAACATTATAAACTAAGCAAAAAATGAAAACATAAAGCTATAATAAATATATTCTTATACATTACTGAGACAATCCAGATATGTTACAAATGGATTTTCTAAAACTACTTGTGATGCCTGGAGAAATGCTCCACTAAGGGAAGTCAACTGAATATTCTAGCATTAAATACCAGACAAGTAACCAATAACTCTTCACTTATGAAAATCGATTTCTATGTGCAAATGAGTCTATACATCAATCAAAGAAAAGCTATAGACTCAAGATCTAATTAACATTTGTGAACAGAATTTTAGCTTGAGAGCTGCAAATAGCACCCCCCACACTTTTGAGATACAAAAAGGTCATTATGAACTGACCATTTATAAAATTAGTCTATTCAAACAATGTGATTTTGCATCTTCTTCTATAAAATAGGTATAAAAAGAGTATTTTTTATTTATTAATTTATTTACTTTTGGTTTTTTGAGACAAGACCTCAACGTGCACTCCAGGCTGGCCTTGAATCATGAAGCCCAGGTTGGCCTCAAACTCAAGGGGATCGTCCTGCCACCGCCTCCTGAGTGCTGCAATTATAGGCCAGCACCACCATGCCCAACAAGTAAGAGTATTTTTCTCCCTGTTATAGGTAATAACCTCTACCCACTGCAGCAAACTATCTGTTGGTCAATTTCCCTATTCACAAATTGCGTTATGTAATCTAATGTTATGCAAAACAATTGTAATATGAAAACATTCCACAAAGATACAGAATTCTATCATGTTAATAAAAATGCTATTTAAGAAATGATGATATGGCATAAATTAACAACTTGTAGGGAAGTGATTATGGAGGTACAGGTCTGTAATCCCAACACGCAGAGGCAGAGGCAGAAAGAGCTTGAGTTTAAAGCTAGCCTAAGCCACAAAGGAAAACCTTGTCTCAAACAAACAGAAAACACAAAACAAAACAAAACAATTTGTAGGCAGAATTAAAGATGACGACAAGATATGAACTTTAAAACATAGTATCGGTCGGGAATATAGCTCAGTTGTAGAGGCCATGCTTGCCTAGCAGGCTCAAGGACCTGGGGTGGAACCCTCATACTGCAAAGGAAACAGAAACAGAAAAAGAAAAACTCACCTATAATATGAGTACCAAACCTGTGTAAATTTACCTATACTCATAGGAATCCTACACTTATGGGTATAGGTAAATATACTATGGGTATAGGATTTCTATGGGTATGGGTAAAGACACTATGGGTATAGGTAAATATATTATGGGTATAGGATTCTTAAGGGTATGGGTAAATTTACACAGTTTTGGTACTCATATTATGAACACCAGGAACACACACTTCTCAGTGTCATCTATTGACAATATCCTTTCTTCTCCAGATTAATTTCGGCTCATCTTTCTTAGTGTTTGTTCGTAAGCTACTTCTTGTAGTCTCTTCTGATCTCCCCAAGCAAAACTCACTTTCTCCTCACATCAAAGCACAGTGTTATGAAGCAATCTCACACCGTATAAAGTTATCTTACATCAAGCATCTCTTACATCAGTTCACACTCATTACCTACCACAGACAATGAAACTGAAAGCACACAGCACTTTGTATTTACCAAATAGGATTCTAGATTCTTAGGATCGGGATGGGTCAAAATGACCAACACTTGTGTTCAGATGTAAAAGTGAGACTCAAAGGCTAAGCACTTGCTAAGTCATAGACAGAACTCGTATGAACGGGACTATGTCTGGTTCACTGGTCCAACCTGTTTCACTCAGCACAGAACTGACGTGTACAATAAAGCTTTCTATTAAAAAAAACTGTAAATGTCAACACATAAATGTTGAGAAACAAATCCCTAAATTATAACTTTACATTAGTCATGCATCAATTCTCAGTTGGAAATATTATGAGAAATGTAAAGAGAAATTATTTCTTAACACAATATATTACGTGCAAATATATGTCCAAGATTTAATTCTGATTTTTTATTATTAGCACATTTAAACAGAAATCTGGGCCCAGGCTGTAGGGTTTCAGAAGCCCGTCTACAAAGAATGAATCATGGGAAAATTAAAACTGGCATACCAACATCCAAAAAATATTTATACAGCGTAGTCTATTATCAAACACTAGTAAAATGCAAGTGACAACCCGTCTTGGCTGGAAACTAAACCCAGAATTCACATTTTGAGGAAGTTCAAGTTTATCAACCAATGCTACATCGGGATTTACTGCCTTAAGAATGACTTCCATCAAGAAAAACATTTAGATTTCATCAACGAGTAGCGCTACTGAACAAATGCGAAAGGAAATAAGCCGTCTCTTGTATGACTGTCAGAATTAGTGAAAGAAAGCATGAGTTTCTCCAAGAAACTCACGTAAGCACATGCTTAGAATTACTGACAAACAAACACTACAGCAGAAAAGAACCAAGAGAAAAAGCAGGAACCGCTACTGCGTCCCTGGAAGCTACTTCTGGCAAACAAAATAAGGCGGGACTGTCCGGATACAGCTAAGCAAGCACCAAAGTAGAAACGCATCACCTGGGCGGGTCCCGGGGCCACCTCCGGGGATCCGCGTCCTGCACGACCCCCGACCCGCCAGCAGCTCTGCCCGGGCACCTCACCAGAAAGGGACACAGGTGATTCCCACCAGGAGGCAGCTGCAGACTTTAAGAGAAACCGAGAGACCCCAGGAGAGACCTCTCCTTAGGGAAGTGGCCTTATCTCAGACTAACTGTGGAGGCCAGGAGCCGCCGCCCACCATACCGGGATCGTCTTGCTGCGGCCTCCCTCGCCTGTTCCCTATCCAGGCCAGGCAGGGCAGGCCTTGGCCTCGATCGCGTTGCAGGGGCCCTTTTCCGCCCGCTGGGCTCTAGATGACGAAAGGAAACCAGGACCGCAAGAAGGGTCTAGCCAGGCCCAACGCCCCTCAACACTCACCATGGCGACTCCTGGAGCCAGCAGCAAGAAGCACCCACAGCGCTAGGAGCCTCCCGGGTCAGGTGACACTCAGGCTCCAGCACCGCCCTCCCTAGCTCCGCCCTCAACCTGCAAGCGATTCTCCGACTGGCTCGTTTCTAGGGACCAAGTCTCGCGTGTTTTACTGGCCCTTGTCACTCAACCTAGGGCTGACGGATTTGAGTACCCGGTAATTGCTCCGTAATGTGAGTGCGAGGGCCAGAGCAATGAAATGACTATTGTTCAAATACAGGCAGGAGGGAAAGGCGATATTTAAAAGTTTGTTACAAAAGAAGGAACAGGGAAAGGAACAGTCTGACCACATTATATCCGCCACGGTAAGATCACTCATGGCGCGCATGCGCCGAACAAAGACCAAGATTGGTCTGTGGGACGGCCTAAATGCCTTGTTCTAACCAATCCAGATGTGCCAGAGGTGGATCCTGCGCTCACTGGCTAGCCCCGAGACTACGCGGGGGTTTTGTTCCGCCGTTGCTGTTTGCTCTAGTTCCTCCAGCCAGCGCCATGGGAACGGAATTGATTGAACGCCTAGCCATTCGCCTGGGCCTCGCCAACCCCAGTGTGCTGAGGTGAGTCTGTAGGGGCACGTCGCCCACCTTGGGTGGCTCAACCTGCTCCCTTGAGCCGTGTCTAGTTTTGATGCGCGCCTTTCTTGTGCGATGGGCGGGATGGAGGTGACTGAGAGGCCGGGGCCGGTGAGCCCGAGGCCTTGAAAACTTCCGGTCACGCGCTCGCGAAAGAGGCCAGAGGAAGCCTGTAGACGTCCTCGGGAACCACTGGCACTGTGGGCTGCAGGGTGGTAGGCAAAGGAGTGCGTGTCGGAGAACTTGTCCGCAGGCTCTTTCTGAGGGCTTCTTAATGAGGAGCCTGGCTAGAGCCCTGTGGAAGTTTATACTCAGAATAGAGGCGGTGCGAGAGCCACTGCGGGGAGACGTGTCCCTGCTTTTCATAAGAGGTCGGAAAGACCCCGGAGGAAACCTTGCTGTAAGACCTGGTTGGCAGACAGTGCCTGCTATGGGAAGGTATGACGAGGGCTGTGACAGAAGCCTTGAAAAGGGAAAGATCTTTGCAAGAACAGCGGTTCTCGAGTGTGGTTCCCGGATTTGCGCCCGCCATATCCTCTTGGCACTTGGCTACAAATACAGGTTTGCGCTCCATCGCAGCCCTGCTAATCAGAAGCTGGGGATGGCATCCAGCACCTAATTTCATAAGCCCCCAAGGTTTTTATCCGATACAATAAGTCTAAGAAACTGTGATGAAAAAGAAGGCAAACTGGTCTTACCTGCTGTCTCTCAATTGATTCCGCTTGTTTCAGTAATAGGAGAAGGAAAGAAGGATTGTTTTGAGGGAGGCTGAATTTAATCTTGTGTGGAGGCACTTAACTACAGTGAGGTCCGAAGTCAGGGCATTGGCTGTCCTGGGCGCATTCCCTCCTCAAAGGATACCCACTTCATTCCCAGCCCTAAATAAATGTAGGATGAAGTCCACGGGGTTATATTCATTGTTTATTAAGTTTTGGGCAGACTTCTGAACGAGTTTTAGTGTGCACATTGCTCTTCCAGGAAAGCAGAAGAGTACTTGCGACTGTCTCAGGTGAAGTGTACTGGTCTGTCTGCACATACCACAGAAACTAGCAATGCCATCATGTGCTTGGACCTTGCAGCTGCCTGTATGGAGTGCCCCTTGGACAGGGTGAGTGAGTCCCATTGAATGTCCAAATAATCTGAAGTTTATCCTTACCTCTTAATTTTTGGTTGGGCTAGACCCAGGCCAAAAACTCATGTTCTAGAATTCTTATAGTCTCACGTTATTCTAGATCAGTTCAAGGATCATTTTGTCGAGCCAAGTGTAGTGGCATATGTCTGTCATCTCAGCACTAGAAAGGTAGAGGCAGAAGGATCGCTGTGAGTTTGAGGCCATCCATAAGCAAGTTCGACATCAGTCTAAACTACAGAGTAAGACCCCGTCCCAAAAAAAAAAAAAGAATCATTTCGTCAAGTGGGAAAACAATACTTTTTGCAGTGTTCTCTCTATTATTTAGTTTTCCTGTTTTTCTTCATAGAGGCCATCTTCCATTCTGCTTTTAGCAATAGCCTCTAAAACTGTGTACTTTAAAACCTATGTATGATTTTCTAATTTCAAAGTCTTTAAAAAGAAGCCACTTTGAAGTAAGAGTCACGTGTTGAAGCCATATCTCAATACCATTTGCTGGTTCTGTGAACCACCAGTTTACTTCTCCATAAAGTAGGATGAAAATGACCATTTCACTTAGTTATGATTATGTAATACCTTGTAACACACTACCTGTATCAAAATAGATAAACTCATTTAATAGTCTAAATGTTAAAACAAAGCTCTTATCTGCCATTAAAGTTTCCAGCCTTTCTTAAACCTCAATTTCAAACTGTAGTGTGTTTACTCCATAGACTTCTACAGTTTAATAATTTGTGGCTTAAATGATATAATATTTGGTTTTTCCAGGAATGCTCTTCTGGCAAACCCTATTTTATGTGGCCCCCCCCACACACACACACCTTGTTGTTACATCTTTTATGAAGCTCCCCTTGTCTCTCCCAGTTAGCTGGTTTCTCATAGTTGTTTATCTCCCTATTTCCGTCTTTGTTTGTCTTCTACCTTTCCTCTTCTACATACATACTATGCTGCTCCACTCCCATCACTTCCCTCAATCTTCCCTAAAATTTGCCCAATGCTACATTTGTTGAAAAACAAATAACTTTGTTTATCTCACTCTGTGGTTTTTTCCTCTATACCTTAGATATTGATACTATTTAATTAAGTTAAAGTTGGCTGTGAACAATATGCATGAGTTTGATTCCCCAGTATCAAAAATGTGTGTATACATATATGCATTACTGCCTTCGTATGGTGATTGCTGATTTTTAGTAAATGAAGCTCAACCTTTGGGCAGAGTAACTTGCCACAGAATTTATTTTGAACAGTTTATACTGCATATTAAGTGGTTAAGTGTGCAAATATAGAGAATTTAAGATTTGCATATTTTTTCTTTCAAAGGCTTACTTAATTAAACTTTCTGGATTGAACAAGAAGATGTATCAGAGCTGTCTTAAATCTTTTGAGTGTTTACTGGACATGAATTCAAATATTGGGATAAAAGACCTAGCTGTGCAGTTCAGCTGTACAGAAGCAGTGAACTTGGCCTCGAAGATACTGCAAAGGTATAGGCATGAAGAGCCTTAAATTTATATTGATAAAGCAAAATTATCCAGGGATCTATTCTGATTCATTTTCAGTTGTAAGTGTAAATAAAAACTGTTGAAAATAAGAAGGGATACTGATGTAGCTCAGTGTGAAAGTCCTAGGTTCAATCCCCAGTACTGTACCAAAAAAAAAAAAAGGAAAAACGAAGATTTTAAAGTGACAGAATATTTACCTATCCTGCATTTTAAAACATTGTAAGTTCTGATTTGCATTTTCATTTCTTTTGAAATGATATTTTCCTTAAAATTTTTTTTCTGATATTTATTTTTGTTGTACAAATTGATGGGTTGTGGTATGATAATTTGATAAATATGTACAGGCTTAAAGATCAAATCAGATAATTAACATTTCCATTTTAAAATTTTTTGATTAACAAAATAATTGTATCTGTGGTGTATAGTATGATATTTCAATATAAATATACAATACACACTAATAAATAGGGATAATTAATATTTCCGATTCCTTATCATTAGTTGGTGTTTGGGGCCTTTGAACTCCTTTCTTCTTGTGACTCATGTAATATATATTGCTGTGAATTAGCATGTGGCGTTTTCTTACATGTATATAACATATTTTGATCATATCCACAAAATAATTTTCTGACAAGTGATTATGTTAATACTGCTGATCTCTAGCTATGAGTCCAGTCTTCTGCAGACACAGCAAGTAGATCTTGATTTATCCAGGCCACTTTTCACCACTGCTGCACTGCTTTCAGCATGCAAGTAAGTGTTTCTTTTAATTTTCAGAAGTTTTCAGTTTATAAATGGGGCTTTTAATTCCCCCAAAGTGTAATTCTAATTTAGTTGATTTCAATTCTGTGTATTTCCCTTTATAAATAAAGTTAGGACTAGTGGTCATGTGACCAGATTTCCAGTTTAACCTGTAATATAGCTGACAACTTGGAACTAGTGTTGCCAGAAGTGCTGTCACCAAGTGGTGGACATATATGTAAGCTGGTTATTCTGATTTCAAAGTCTACTTTTTATAAGTGGTACAATCTGTCAGAACAATAGTGTGTGATTTTTCTAGTCATAGTTTTTAAAAAGTACTGACAGGAACTGTTCTTCAGTTAATTTAAAAAACATTTCTATAGTAAATTGTTATATCTGAACCTTAAAATTGTGTGTTATCTCTTCATACTGAATTATTATCCTAGAATTACTTGTTGATGTCTTTTTTTAAAGTTGTCATTTTACCTAACATCTTCCTGGAGTTGGGGTGGGAAGTAGTTGACCATTAGAGAATGAAGAACTTTTTCATTGCCTAGGCACCAATTTTGACTATTTACATACAAAGGGCTGATTCATAGAAAATGTTTCTTTAAATCAACAAAGATACATGTATGTAAAGAGGGAGTAGAAAAATTGCAGAAAACTGCAAATGGTCAAGTAATCCCACTTTTGAATCCTTACTAGAATAAACAAAGAGAAGGGTGGATGTAGGTCAATTATTCTGAATAAGAAGTTTGTGATTTTTATTAGTGTTTGCTGTAGAGGAATTGGGAATTTGTGAAGAGGTGAAAGTATGTTAATAATACTCTTAATACAGGGCCGGAGATATAGCTTGGTGGCACAAGCGCCTGCGTGGCAAGCACAAGGTCATGAGTTCAATCCGTGGTACAAAAAAAAAAGTAACATTCTAGTATAATTATAGGCTGTATAGGCTAAAGTATCTTGAACATGTAAATGTAATGTGATTATCATTCTGCAAATTAACATCTGAGATTTACTAAAAAGAGTTCTAAGAGGTATGAAACTCTACACCAAATGTAACTTACTTTTTTTTCCCCTTTGGTTACCAAGAATCAAACACACAACCTCGCCCTTGTCAGGTAGGCATTGTGCCACTGAGTTATATAACCTGCATAGCAAATGTAGTTTATCTTCCCATTTGTTACAAAATTAGATCCCATGTGTGTTGCAGTTCCCAGTCTAATACATAACTAAATAAAGACCTTAAAAAGGCAAATTTTCATGGTTCTAACTAATCAAATAGATGTGGAATAAAGGAAAAGCTAGATAACTTGATAAAGCATGAAGAAAGAGAAAGTAAGTTTATAATCTGGTTGGCCAAGGAAAAAAACTACTGGTCACCCAGAAGCAATTTTTGAAATTCTTTTGTAGGATGCTGAAACTGAAAGTGGACAAAAACAAAATGGTAGCCATGGCCGGTGTAAAAAAAGCCATATTTGATCGACTGTGTAAACAATTAGAGAAGACTGGACAGCAGATTGACAGTGCGTATTCTATAGTTCAAGAAAATGTAGACTTGCTGGTAAAAGTTAGATATTTTCAACTTGCAAACTGGCTGCTTTTTGAATTTTGTATTTAATATGGGCCAGATAGTTTTTAGTGATAAAAACTGATTTTTTTCTGTTTTTTCAAATAAAGTAGAAACTTTAGAAACCTATGATTCCATGAATCTATGCATGGAGAATAGATTCTCTGTTAGCATACTGTGATGTTAAATGCCAGTTTCCATATATATAAGATAGCAGAGACATGATTTTCAAGTTTGACAAAAGAAGCAGCAAGAAAGGAAAAGGCAAGATCATTTGTCATCTTTTGATCTAGTCTTTGGCCTATCAAAGTAACTAATGTTTGCTTATAAGCTAAAATACAGCCAAGTACTAAAATTGAGAGGAAGAGAAAATTAACCAATACTTTTCTCTTTCCTTAAAGAAGAACCTAGAGATTTAGCTAGTCCTCCACGGAAGAAAAAGAAAACAGTGGTCAAATCACTGGCAATGGGTAAGTCTTACCAACACTATAATGATACTGATACTGAAATCAGTGCAATGTGATTAAAGCAGTGAATAGTCCTGTGCTGTTCTGGTAGCTCACTTGACCAATCTTCCAAGCACTAATCAGTGGAAATAACAGAAGTATTGTGTAATTAAGAGTATATCTAAAACCAAAGAACCTGAGTACAAGTCTTTACCACAGTTAAAACGTAACCTTTAGACAAAGTAGTTTGTAACAGTTTGAACCAAGAACAACTCATGAATGGGGCAGCATTCATCAGAAAGAGACTCAGACTGCTCAGAAAGACTCAGTGAGCTGTTATAGACCAAACCTGGAAGTAAGGTAGAGAAATGACTTTATGGACTGTGGCTGTGCATTGGCTATATTTGGGCATGCCCTAGTGGAAGGTTTCTTACTGTGGCTGACTGAAGCTCATTTTGTTGTGTTTTCTTCCTAGTTACAAAAAATGTTTTCTGGTTAAATTCTTGCTTACATAGGAACTCCCTCTAAAAGACAGTCCAGCTGGTGGCCTTTTTATTGGTTTAACACCACCTGTTGGCTTGAGTTTAAGAAACCACCTGTTGGCGTGAGTTTAAGAAAGTCATAGTTGCTGTGAGATTTACTAATGTATAAATGTAATATTAGCACCCACTTCATTAGTATTGTGGTAAGTGTTGATGAGATACAGTTTAAAGTGTTTGGTTCAGTGCCCACCAAGTACAAAGTAAGTGTTTGATGAATCTTACCTATTATTAGGTGTGTTGAAATGCTAGGAGTATAAGGAGGAAAAAGTGAAAGTTGCCATTTTATTTCAGTATCTTTTTCCCCTGCTATCTTAATTAATTGACGTAGATACTTTGTACAAAATTTTACTTTTACTTTATTTCTAAACATAAGGATTTTGAAATTTTGCCTTTTCCCCTCATAGAAAGAAAGAAAGTAGAAGAAATTCCACATAAACCACAGAAAGATGAAGATGTGACACAGGATTATGAAGAATGGAAAAGGAAAATTTTGGAAAATGCTACCAGTGCTCAAAAGACTACAGCAGAGTGATGTTAGTTTCCATCCTGGAATGTGCTGCAAACCTGTAGTTTACTGCCACATCCAGGAAAGACTGAGGGCTTTGGGCTTTGTTTGAACTTTTATGCCGAGGATCCTGTTGCCTTAGTAGCAAAGAAGCTATTACTAGAACTGAGTTCTGGGCAGTGGGCCACTCCTGGCATAAGCGACATTAGGTCGATTGCAGGGCCTTGCACCTCAGATCCCCAAAGGCTGGCTGTCCTATAACAGGAAATGGCAGCCACTTTGCATTTTTTTCTTCTGTGTCTTAAGCCAAAGCCAGTCTCCTATCAAGAATATAAGATTTTACTTCAGCTTGTATCTGATTGTTTTCATTTGACTAAATATTTTTTCAGTCTAAATTAATAAATACTATTTTTATGTGCATTCAGGTTGCACTTGTCCTAAGTTTGAAGGAATCTTTGTTAGGCCAAGATCTATCTACTCTAAGTAGGAAAAAGTAATCCTCACTGCTCACCAATTGAATCAGATTTCTACTTGAGTCAGATTTCCTGGGTTTCAAACCCTGCTTAGCCACTTACCACCTGTGAAACGAAGGAACTAATTAACTTTATGCCTCACTTACAAAGTAGGAATAAAAATGGTGATACCTCTTGGATTGATTTGGAGGAATACTAGAGCAAATACATGTAGTGTTTTTAGCACAGTGCCCACTCTTAAGTATCTAAATTATTAAATATTCTAGTAGGTATTAGAAAAAAAGCAATTAACTGTGGAAAAGGGCCTTTATAATTAGGGGCATCATAACAAGAAGTTGTTAGGATCATCGTACCAAGACATGATTTTAAAGTTGCATAATCTAGCCAAGCATTGTGGTATATACCTATAAACAGCGGTCTGGGAGGCTGAGGCAGGAGGATCTTGAGTTCTAGTCCAGTTTGGGCAACTTAGAAACTTAGTGATACCCTATCTCGATAGAGAGGGAGGCAGGGAGGGGACATAGCTCAGTGCAAACGTCCTAAATTCAACCTCCAGTGCCAATAAGATGTAATTAAATTTTTCCCATGATGAAGTGATTGTACCAATCTATACAGAATGCCATCAGTGATGATAGTGGTTGCCTCTTGTCTGCCACAATTAAGTCGTCATACCTGCTACTTACTTAGATGGAAAATGACTAACAGTGATTCTTTTTTTTGTCCCTTGCTTTTTTTTGTTGTTTTGTTTTGTTTGAAATAAGGGTCTCAGTTTATGGCCCAGGCTAATCTTGAACTCAGAGACTCAGCAATCTTTCTACCTAAGCTGCTGAGTAGCTTGGACTGTAAGTGCATGCCACCCTGTCTGGTGCTTTTTAACTAGAAATTTAGCAGATTGAAACTTGAGAAGAAATAATCAAATTATCCCAACTAGACATAGCATCTGACGAGGAGTATGATAAATTTTGGCTATACCATTTCTCCCTTACAAACAGATCAAGACTTAGCTTCAGTTTCCCCATTTTTACAGTAGAGACATGTCTTACGAGAATTAAAGGTAATGCTTGTAAAATGTATGGTTTATTGAAGGCAGTCACTAAATAGTAGCTCTTTTAACTACTATAGTCTAAAACGAGTCAGTGAATATTCCTCATTCAAGAAGATGCAGTTTGTTTTTAATTTGGTGGCAGGTTTAGATTTTTAGCTTTGAATCAAAAGTAATATACTTTTATCACATAATCCAAACATACATTTCCTAAAATATGGATATGTATATATAAAATTTCCAGCTTTACCTTTTTCGAGTATATGGTTCAGTCGTCATTGTTTTGCAAACAGGCTCCAGAAGTTTTTCATCTTGCAAAACTGACTATTAAACAATTCTCCATTCCTCCCTCCCACAGGCTTCTGGCAACTTAACGTTTTTTCTGCCCAACACTTCAAGTAAGTGGAATCACAGTGTTTGTGACTGATTTATTTCCTTGGTATAATGTCCTCAAGTTTTATCCATGTTTTGGCTTGTGTCAAAATGTTCCTTTTTCTATTGTATGTACAGCACCACTTTTAAAAATGCATTTATCCATTGATGGGTTGCTTCCCCCTCTTAGCTCCTATGAATGTGGATGAACAGATGTTTATTGGAGACTGCTTTCCAACTTTGGGGATTATATGCCTTTATGTGGGATTATTGCATCATACAGTAATTTAAAATTTTTGAGGACCAAACCATCCACAGTAGATACATCATGTATTTCCACTCATAGTTAACAAGGGTTCCAGTTTCTCCACATTCTTGGCAATGCGTGTTTTCTGTTGGGTTTGGTTTGAGGTTTGGGTTGTTTTTAAGTAGCCACCCTAATGGATATGAGGCTAACACCTCTCATTGTACTTTTTGCCTTTCCCCAATGATTGATGATACAGAAACATCTGTACTTTTTGACTGTTGTCAATTTTTTTTTTGCAGAAATGTACTCATATTCTTTGTACCTTTTCAAATTGGCTTGTTTGTGTGGTGAAATTGTTCTTTATATATTGTAGATAATAACCTTTAGATACAGGCTTAGAGAATATTTTCTTGTATTGATCAGGTTGTTTTTTACTCTGCTGACTGTACATTCACGCACAATTTTTAGTTCTGATGTACTCAGTTGCTCTACTTTTGTTGCCTGAACTTTTGCTCTCATGTCAAAGAAACCCAGTGTCACGAAACTTTTCCTCTCTATTTTAAAAGTTTTATAATATTAACTCTTACATTGAGGTCTTTCATCCATTTTAAATTAAGTACATTCAGTTTGAAATTATACTATTAAGATTTGGTTAAATCTGCTGTTTCTGAACCTTACTTTTATAAGTGCAGTTTTGATCACATTTAGCTCATTACTCATTCCATCTGTTTCAGTTCTATTTTTATTTAAAAAAAAAAATTTGGAAGCTTAGTTTTGTTACCAAAGATGAAGTTTAAAATTAAAATCCCTGAGTGTCTCTGTTAATCTTTACTGTTTGCTCAAGTCAGTCCACACTTGATACTGTTACAAATTTTTTTATTATGAAATCAGTACAGGCTTGTTGAAAACAAATTCAGGTGGTTCAGAAAGCTACAAAACATAGAATTCCCTCTCCCAAGCACAAGAATTTCCCTTCTGATCACCCATTCTCCACACCCTACTTTTTTTAGTTTCTTACATGTCCGATAACTGTAATGTATGTATGAGTATGTATGCATCTCTTCATCAGTGGGTGATACCATTTATATATGCTATAAAAGAAAGGTGGCTGTCAGTACATCTAGCTCTACCTTTAAAACCTGTGAATCTACTATAAGGATATGGTGGCACTCACAACCCAGGCAGGTGGGCAGGCATGTGATGTTTCCATTTGATCCTTAGCAACAGTGCTACAAGGAACACTGCAAAAATTTCTGTATACATGTTCAAGTACTGGATGATAATGTCTAAAAATGGAATTGCTATATGGTTGTATAACATTTGGATAGCTGTCACCAGAATTAGGAAAATGCTGTTTTTCCCACACCTTTATCTCAACTCCAGTCATCAGGTAAGTGAATAAAGTGGACCCTATCTTTTAGGGTTTCTTGCCTAACAGTTTTCAATCACTATTGTTTTTATCAAATGAAAGAGCCCCATAATAAATAGTTGCTAACCATAGTTGTAATCTAAACTTTTGGGGGCCAAATACACATTAACAAATTAGAGAAACCTCAAACTTCATAAAAGTGCAAGATAAGGTTTGTTTGCTTTTTGTTTGTTTTGTTTTGTTTGGTATTGATTTTGGACAAAGACTCTTGCTACATATTTTAGGCTGGGCTTGAACCCACTGTGTTGCCCAGGGTGACTTCAAACTTCAGGTGATCCTGAGTACTGGTATTACAGACTGGCACCATTGCTACACCCCACTCATAATTTCAGTTCAAGGAATCTAAAATCCACATTACCTCTCACTTGTGTGGACCTGTCCTAAACATACCTTTAGAGAGGGTTAGAAAGAAATAGTTGCTTAAGGTAATGACAGCATAAGGGGGAAAAGACAAATCAATATTTGGTATACTGGGGGGCTGGGATTTAGCTGAGCGGTATAAGCACCTTGCAAGCAGGCCGTCCTGAGTTCGATCTCTGGTACCGATAAAAATGAAAAAGACAAAAAAAAAAAATTTGGTAGACTGGTACAGGATTCCAGATCTCTGTCCAAATAGATGCCACTAAACACATGGCTATTAAACACTTCAGATGTGACGAATGCAATTACAGAACTGAGTTTTCAATCTTATTTTAAATGTCAAAACAAGTACTTCCTTAAATTATTGGGAAAACTTAAGTATGTTTCAAGTAACTTGAGTGCATAAATATTTTCCCCAACAAATTTTATGAAACCTAAAAGTTATTTCCCATGAAAACCTAGCATCTAAATGAATACATGTTGCAAGTGTAAATTATATACCATATTTTTTAGAGCCTTAGCATGAAAAAGTATGTCCATAATTTTATGTTGATTACATATTAAAATGTTTTTGATACATTGGATTAAATTATTTAAATTAGTATCAATATTTTTAAAGGAACTAGTAGAAATTCTTAAATAATGAATGGCTCATAGTTCTCTAAACAGTAGTGCTCTAGAGCAGGGTAATTGCATTTTTTTCTGGGAAGATCATAGCCTTCCAAGAGAACCTCAAATGCCAAATAGAATAAGAACTACCACATTAGGTAAAATTGCAAAATAATCTCCCTACTTACCCTCAAGAACCTTTGCCATACTGGGGTGGGCACACCTATAATGCTGGAACTCTGGGAAGCTGAGACCAGAGGATCCCAAGTTTGAGACCAGCCTGGGCAGTTCAATTTAGCAAGACCTTATCTTTAAAAAAGGGGGGATGGGGTGGGGATGTGTGCACATGCCATAGTTAAATGCTCTGTACCATTTTTTTAATGCACATTTCCATAAAGGTAATTGATACCTAAAAAGTGAAAACAAATCACTGTTATTGTCTCATTAAAAGCAGTTTCCAGCATCATTTCTTGGGTTGATCAGTTGGTCAATTTGGAGCAGGCATAGCCATGCTGATACAAAAAGGCGTAGCTCCCTGATGAGGGTTAACTTTTCAAAGCAAAGTTACAACCCAGGAAAGTCTTTATTCTGGTGAAGAAAAAAAATCCTGAAAGGCTGTGAAACTGTTGATTAATTAATTAGTTTTTAATTAGTCTAATTGAAAGCTAAGTGGCTACAGCAACTTAAACAGCTGATTAAAGAAGGTAATTGAAGTACTGTACCATAAAAATTAGGCAAAAGTGAACTGGTATGGTGATGTGTGCCAGTAATCCCAGCAGTCTGGAGGCTGAGGCAGGAGGATCACTGAATTCAAGGCCAGTTTGAACTGTACAGTGAGATCATCTCAAAAAAACAAGAACATCAAGCAGATGTAAAGAAATTTTTTAAATTGTTAGCTTTTAAATAATAAAATATTCTTTTAGTAAAGGGATAAAATGCTGAAATGAGTCGAGCATGGTGGCGTGAGGTTTGCCACAATGTCAAGGCCAGCCCGGGCTAAAAAAAAAAAAAGTACTGAAAATTTGTGAGTATTTTAGCTGCTCATCTCACTTAGCATTATTTCAGTGAATGGATGATGCAACTATTGTAATCCAGGTAGTAAAGATTTCAAATACACCAGTATTTTAAGAAGTACAATTTTAAAATGACATTGAAAGTATCTCCTTAGCAGTAGAAGAGCACTTCTTTATTGCTTCATACTATATCATTTCTGTGTTTCTCCCAAAAAGATGAACATCATTACATTCTTCATATATTGCATATCAATTTCCAGATTTGTAAGACCACAAGTTCATAACCAAATATGGGTCAAGACCACAGAGGTAGAGAACGAAAGGGATACAGAATTTAAAAACACATTCAAAATTTTCAGATATAGTCATTTCTCAGCCTTTTATCTAACATCAAATGAAAACGTTTCAGATTTAGTCACAATTCACATATTCTGAAATTTTAGCCAACACTAAATGTAGCATGTTGGTGTTGATTCTTAAAAGAGAACATAAGTTAAAACAAGTTTTGAGATTACTGTCCTAAATCCATACAGCTTGACACTAGAGTAGGGCAATACAAGATTTGCTCACACATAAATAGATCAAAATTGTAGGAATTCTTTGTACTGGAACATTTGCACTGGAAGAGGTAACTCTGAGAAACATGTCTTCGTATAATAGCTAAGTTTCAAATTTAAATTTGACATATCCAGAGTAGGACCTTTTGTACTTACCTAAGCAAGCCTACATTTTAATTCTGAAAAGTAATCACAGCATTTCAAACTTACTGATCTTATAGGGGAAAGGAGGTTTCTAAAATGCTTTATAGTCATAAAAGCAAGTCAACTTTTTTTTTTTTTTACAAAATTAGAATAATCAATAATTGTAAAATGCCAGGTTATTTAAACCCTTGAGTCAGTTCTTCAAATCAACAGTGGTGTCAGTAATTTCTGGGTGTTTTGGAGCAATGGAGTTGACTATTAAGGAGACGCTGGAAATTTCCTTAACCTATTGGCAGCAGTCACCACGTAGAAATGTTTCTTGAAATAAGGAGAGAAAAGAAAAAGCATACTTTTAGACCTTAAAAAGAAAGTGAAAGCAGTCTAAACAACTTGAATTTGTTTAAAATTGATAATCTAAAGGAGAAAAGAAGTTTCTAGAGTAATTATAGTAGAACAGTCCTGTGACCTAAGGGATGTTTGGGGTGTGACGAAAAAGTAAAATAGCCTATCCTCTCACATGGAAAGTAGAGTAGCCTAAAACAATGTTTTTTAAGTCAAATTTTTAGACTACAAAAAACTATTTTTTAATAAAACCAAATACCATAGAATAGAAAATAGAATGTATCACAATGTGTTAAAATAAATGTGAAGTTTCATATATTTTTATGCTTGCTTTATACATATAGATACATCTATATGTAAACTTATGTTCTGGTTCCCTAGGTAAAGGTGGTTTTTTTTTTGTTCTGAGTGTTTTAAGGGGTTTTCATTTAGTTTTGGTTTTGATTTTGGTGCTGGGGTTTTGTGATGATAGCTAATGAGGTAAAACTAGCATGGTAAGGCTTTTATGCTGTAGAGATCTGTTTTGTATTTTACTGATAATCAGGATCTGTACCAAAATGTTGCAAACCTACTTCCCTTGATGATAAATGAAGATAGGTTCTGTGTCCCTATTACCAAAGAGGTCTGTAATAAACAAAGTTATAAAGCTTTTAAAACTTAATAGAGATTTCCCACAGCCCATTTCTGAAATGTGAATGTATCAGGTCTCAAATTACAAGCAATTAATTCAGGAATAATGCTACTCTCACCACAGAGAACATACAAAGGTGGGATTGAAAAATATCGTCAATGTTTAAAAATTTTTTTTAAAAAAATTATTACAGTAAAAGACATGTTGCCAGACATGGTGGTGCATGCCTATGATCCCACCACTTGGGAGACTGAGGCAGAAAGACCACTGTGAATTCAAGGCCAACCTGAGCTATCTAGTAAGTTCAATGCTAGCCTGAACTACATAGTGACAGTGTTTCAAAAAAATAAAATAAAAAGACATGTTGCCATTAACTGTCTTCAAAGAACTCCCCTTCAAGCCAGATGCCAGCCCTCTCTTGTGAGTCAGGACCATTCACCGACTTTGGGAGAAGAGAACAAAAAATCAAGAAGCTAAGACCTGTGAGTCAGCACCATGCATGGGCAGGGAGATAAGCGCCAGCCTTCTTCCGTCCACATCTACCATAAGCGATTGACTGATCCAGAGAAACACAGGTTATGATGATAGTTAATGAGGCGAAGTACAATTTAATGCTTATAGTGTTTAGTGTTTCACTGACTTTGCAGGCCTACACTCAGTAGTCTGATCATCTATTGAGAGGATAACAATATGCAATGTAGCATATATAGGGGATCACCCTCTAAAGGTGGTAGCCATTGTTAATTCTCTATTATCTTGTTTTGAAATCCTGTGTAATTCTCATTGTTTTATTTGGTTGGGTTTTATTCTGTTTTACCTTATTTGATTTTATTGTAGATGATGGCATGGGCAACTATTTCAAAAATAACAAGATACATTATGGTAGCCATTTTGGATTTACTATTATCTTGTTTTGAAGTCCTGTATTGCATTCATTGTTTACTTTCTATTGGTTCTGTTCTGTTCTGTTTTGTTTGATTTTACAATATCTGAAGGTATGGGCAGCTGAAGTATTTGAAGAGAACAAGAGAAATTATAGTAACCATTGTTAATTTCCTATTATGTTTTGAAATCCTGTATCACTTACACTGTCTTATTTTTGTTGGCTTTATTCTGCTTTATTTTGCTTGGTTTTACTCTCTTTAATATAAAACTTTAAAAACTTTTTAAAAATACTTCACTTCAAAGCAACTTATCCCATCACTCTTGCCACTTTCTGAAGCAGCTATGGAAGTATTATTTTGTGAGTGTCTAGTAGTGCTGTCGTGGCTGCCTTGATGTCCTGAATGGATTCAAAACATTCTCATGATCACTTTGACTGGGGAAGAACTAAAAAGTCTCACAGTGCCAGATCTGGTGAAAAATGTGGATGAGCACACAGCACCATGCTTTCACGAGCCCACTTTTTGTTAGGTGACGTTCAGCAGCCCATTCACTTTGTTTCTATCACCTCAGGCTTCCAGAAGGACTGCATTAGAAAGTGGTAAAAATGATGGGATAGTTGTGTTTGAAGCAAGAGAGAGTATTTTGTGGAGAATTAATGGCTACATCCCTTTTATTGTAGTAATTTTTTAAAATGTAAACATTCAGGATACGCTTTGAGCATATCTCATATGCTCAACTTCACTCTATCACTTCAAGGGTCCATATAACCACAGACTAAATGACATTTTTATACCAGTTAGTTTTTGGTCTCTGGCTTATTTTAATCCAACTAACATTTTAAAATGAGATTTTTCTCCTCAAAATAATCGATGTATAATAAAAATATGTAAAAGTTTAGTGACAGTTCTTTCCCAGGTCAGAAGACAAATGCTTTCTTTACTGACAGAAAAACAAAATACCTTCCATTTTCTCTGGGCCATGTATTTCTGCAGCAATAGTTGGGATTTGAGATGAACTTTGGATTTTGAGGCTTTGGCAGGCAAATTATTCAACCATTCATGTTTCAGGCACTGTGTGGCACTCATTCTGCAGCTGTGAAATAAACAGCAGTTGAAACATTAGTTGGGATTGCCTTTTCTGGCTACCAAAAGCCATTCCATTGGACAGGAATCCTGAGTCAGTAGAATATTCTAATCATTCCACAGATTCATGTCATGTATTAAAAAGGGGACTTGTCTAAAACTTCCCTCTTTAAAAAAAAGGGGGCCAATAAGTAGTAAGTCACCAGCAAAAATGTCCTCTGACCTCTGTGAGGAAACATGTTAGAGTGATTTATTAGCACCTCCTAGCAAGAGCTGGGAAACTGAGGCAGTGCAGTAAGGTCAGCCATACCTGGGACTGCTCTAAGAAGCAAAGAATGGAGAAAGAAAATGTGGTGTTTATACACAATAGAGTACTACGCTACCATAAGGAAGGATACATTTGTGGCATTTGTAGGAAATATTAAGTGAAACAAATTAAATACACAAGCTTAAATATTGCATGGTTTCTCTTATATGAGAAACTCAAAGAGCAATATAAAATATAATAGGAAGCAGGGAGATCTTTTGCAAACAGGAAGGGGACCAATAGGTGGGGGAAGAAGGAAGGAGAAGTAAAAACAGGATGTGTCATGTCCAGGTACCAAATCCTCGTTGAATGTAGTCATTTTGTACCACAAACATGAACTAATCAGAATTAAACATTTCAAACCAAAGAAGCAAAAGAGCCTGACACTTGACAGAAGCTCATTTCTCCTTCAGAGCATATTCATTTCAATTAGAATTTTTTTCCTCTCACATAACCTTTCACAATCTGAAATAAAACTGAAAATCAAAGAACAATGAACTATGTCAGGGCCCATATGCTTGGGCCTTAGTAATTTGAGAATGTGGTGGTACATGCCTATAATCTCAGCACTCAGGAGGCTGAGCAGAAGTATCATAGCCAGTTTGAAGCCAGCCTGGGCTACCAGAGTGAATTCAAGGCCAGCATGAACTCTGGCTCAAAAAACAAAATGTAGTGCAGAAGCCATGTTCCATAATGAAGTCCAGAGTTCCCCAACAAAACTCCAGTAGCCTGCAGGTGGTTTTTATTTCTGGATTATTAATACTTTTAGTTGTTTTCAGTCATTATTTTATGTGAGTATAAAGAAAACCCACTCAATAATTTACTGTCTGACTTTGATAGAACTGCTGCAGCCTAAGTAAGTATGCTTTTTGTTAATAAGAAGTGAAGTATTCAGATCTTTATTCTGGGAAATAACATCAGCCTATCTCAACATTAGCCTATGATAAGTGACAACTTGGAAATAGGACCATTGACAAATATACTTCTTTCAAAAGCATATCTAGAGTTCATGCTCATAGTTTTTTTAAAATTTGATTTCCTTTTCTCCTTTCTTTGCTCTCATTATTATTGCAAAGAAGTAGCAGACTAAGAAATCCTAAAGAAGAAAGCATTCTAGCCTGACACCCAAGGCAGACTCTCTATCACAGTGGCAGAGGGACAGCAGTAGAGTACCTCTTCTCTTTGATCAGTAGCCGGGAAACAAAGTCCTTGGCCTCTTCTGACAGCCCTTCAAAGGTATCAGTGTCAAAGTCCCAGCTACAGTTCACAATGAAATTCATGGTCTCTGCATCGGTTTCCCCTAGAAATGGGGACAAACCACTGAGTCTACAGAGGAGAGAAAGGAGCGTCAGCACAGTCAACCAAAGCCACACTTACCCAAATGTCTCAACAAGAAGGCCCAAGCAGATCTAAGCAGAACCAACAGAGACAGGACAAAAGTAGCTGCAGTACTTCTCCACAGGCTAGAGCTCAGTGTTAATTTAGGGGAGGTGGTGGCAGGATTAAAAACTGGAGGCAGGAAAGACATTCACAATAAGCCCTCTATCACCTCCACCTATCTCTGAGGTAAACAAAAATTGGAGCCTGACCCAATATATCCAGTAATAGAGTATATAATGATTTAATTTTAAAATATCCTTTGGGTGGGTCATATAGATACCACCTCTACCTCACAGCCCAGCTGGCTGGTCTTAGGCCCTAAACTTCCCCAGGCTGGTACCACAGATACTTGCAAAGTGCAGGAACATAGGCCAGCAGTTATGCAATAGGACAAGAAGCAAAGCATGACTTCAGCCTTTAAGTTGAGAGCCACGGGAAGTCCACAGTCCCAGAGAAGAAAGCAAAGAGCCCAGGGTCAGCAGTGACAAAGTTGGAAATCCATTAGTGTCCTGCTCAGCTGTCCCCTGGCCTCACCTCTTGGTGCAGTCCGCTCCTGCCAAAAAACCTTCATTTCTTTATTGAAGGGCTTTTTCTCCACTTCAGGTTTGCTTTACTCACCCAAAAGTACCAGGAAGTTGAATCACTCCCTGGAAGTTAATGCAAGCCCTGCCACCTGAAACCAACCCACAAATAATAACTAACACAAGTTTGTATATAAATTAAATAACTGAGTGTTCATAGAGTCCAGATTTCTCCAGTGGAAATAAACTGCAGGTGTTCACAGGTGAGTTTTATTTCTGGTCAGTAACGCCTTTAGTTATTTTCAGTTATTATTTTATGTGTATTAAAAAATTCTGATAGCCCATGACTTCAATGCTGCTGAAGCCTAAGGCATTGAGACTTTACTCTGGGGAATGATGTCTCCCTATCTCAAACTTTCTCCAGCATTAGCCTATAAGTGATAAATTACAAATAAGATCAATTTAAATAAAGAAACTGGCTCAGAACCGACTCTTAACTGGCACTTTTCCTTCCTCATCTCCCTGCCCTACTCCTCTACTGGTATTTCCTAGGATACTTCCCAAATAAACTTCATACTGTTGCTTCTTATCAGGGTAAGCAAAGACAGCACAGCACTCACAGCATGTAGGCGATGACTCCCACACTCCACATGTCAGTAGGGAAAGAGACAAACTCATAGTTGACAACTTCCGGGGCCAGGAACTCAGGAGTACCAAAATTCACCTTCAGTTTTTCCTGAGGTTTGTACCTGGGGAGAAGGAGTATAGAGAAGCAAGAGACTAGAGTCCTTACATGAGATGCAAAGAAGGACTGATTCCCAGAGGAGGAGACATTCCGTCAGGCCTTACTGTCAGACACCTTGCTTTGGACTCAGATTCACACTACAGATGTATTTTACTGGAGAGAGAATCACAACCTACACCTTGACCTTCAGGTTTTGCTAAGTTAGCAGCAGAATCAGAAAACCACAGTCCTTCAGACATTTACAATCTGAAAAGGAAAGAATATCCATATATCTTATCCAACATGTTGCTATGTGGGCAGGTGCAAACAAACAAAGTGGGAGATACTGGGCAGAGACAGCTGTTGGTGTACACAGTGTGGCTGGAGGATGACAATGAAATTAGAGAAAGAGGGAAAGATGCATGTCACCACTGATCATTAGGTAATACAAATCAAAACCAGGATGTGATCCTGCTTCCTACCTACCCAGAGGGCCAGCATATTTAAATACATTGGTGGAATCATGGAGTCATATATATGGGACTAACATCTAGATAAGCTGGAGAAAGCATCAGTTTTGCAAGATGAAATGTTCTAAAAGTTAATCATTCAGCAACGTACTAAATTAGAGCTGTGCTACTGAACTGTATAAGTAAATATTAAGATGATAATTTTTAATTCGTTAATTTATCCTAAATGACAAAAGATATAAATATCTATAGCTCACAACGTGATATTTTTGATGTGTATACATTTTGGGCTGCCTAAATTAAATTAACATACAGATTACTTCTCTTATTTTTATGTGAAAAGAATGCTTTAAATCTATTCTCCTAAAAGTTTTTTAGTAGACAAGACATTGTTATTAACATCATATTGCATAAGAGGTCTCTTGAACTGATACTTCCGCCTAACTAAAACTTTGCACCCTTTAGCCAATATTTCCCCAGTGCCACTAGCCCGTTCCCTGCTGACCAACATTCACTGCTCCTGTGAGTTCACCTCTTCCAGATTCCACTCATCGGTGATATCATGCTCTACTTGTGCCTGGCATTTTTGCTTAACATAATGTCTTTAAGATTTATGCATGCTGTCTCAAATGACAGGATTTCCTTGTTTTAAGGCTGAACAGTATTCTTTTGGGTACATATACTGTACATTTTCTTTATCCATTCCCCCATTGATGGGCACTGGGTGGTTTTTTAAACACACACACACACACACACACACACAAATTCCAAAAACAAAGTATGAGAGCTGGGTGTGGTACTTCTATAATCACAGCACTTGGGAGGCTGAGGCAGGAGGATTACCACGAATTTGAGGTCAGCCTGGACTACACAGTATTTCAAGGCCAACCAGAGCTACTTAGTGAAACACTGTCTCAAAGAGTTAGAAAAGGTTATGGACATCAAGTGTAAGCATGGCTAGGAAGAGCATTGATGGCAGAGAGAGAAAGTAGTGGCTTTCTTTTAGAAAGAACAGAACTTTTTAGAATCACTGTTAAAGCGTGCTCAATGGAAGGTGGGTGGAAGTGTTCCTGGGCCAGTTCCAAGCTAGGTCATAAGAGCTTGTCCTCTTGACCCTCTGCGATCACCAGAGAAAGACAGTGAGGGACTTGGAGTGCATCTGACCTAACTGATCTGCATTTTAGATCTAAGGCCAGCTGAGTTCAGCCTAGATTAACGAATTCCAACCTGTGGTATGTGAATAAGTGTTTCATAATCAGTGGTCTGGGGAGAGAGAGAGAGAGAGAGAGTGTGTGTGTAGCCCTGATTTTGCAGCTATAGGGAAGCACAGATTTCCTATGGCCAATTTTAAGGCATTATCACGAAGCTCCTGAGTGGCATAGCCTCATTACTATTTTAAGTATTTCTACTACCCAGATGAAATCATAAACACAAAGAACTTCAGAAGCACAGGTAAGAGAAAAATGAGTAGGAAGTAGTGTTTTGAACCAGGCATGGTGTAATCCAAGCATTCAGAAGCTGAAGTAGGGGGACTGCAGTGAGTTCAAAGCCAGCCTGGGCTCTTTAGTGAGTTCAAGTCCAGCCTGAACTACATAGCAAGACCTTGTCTCGAAAAACAAAAAGCAAAATAAAAAAAAGGAAGTGATTTCTAAAACACATAGTTACCTTTGTTTATGTAATTTTTTAAATTGTAAATTTATATAATCTAATTTTAATAATGGCTGTGTTTACCAACTGGATTATAAAATACCTTATCCTGAGCTACTACAATACTGTGAGATCCAGTATACATCTCTGAGGTAATTCACAAATATGGACATGGGAATAAATTATTTTAAGCCAATAGGTTAGACATAGTTTTTTATATAGCAGTATTTTGGTAAGAACTAACTGGGATCTTCATCCAAAACCTGTGCAAAAATATCCACTTAATTCCTAGCACAAGACCCTTTGTAGCCACAAGGTCACATAGGAATGTGAGCACCTCACACCCTGCCAAAGGATCTGATGAAGTCATGTTCTGATGGCAATCTGAGCCGCGACCTGGGAGTTGGGGACTTCCAATATGACACAGAAGCAGCTTAAACAAGATGTCTCCCCTCCAGTTATGACTCTTGACCCATGATATTTTACTATGTAGATTCACCAGTGTAGTCATTGCCCAGCCCAGGTGATCTTGGTCTCTCTTGCTGCAAGTGACAGCCCAAAGATTCGTATGAACTCTGATGCTACCATGTGGCAAACCACCACTACAATTTCTACACCTTCTCCTGACCCCAGTCAGAAATAAAACTTCATTTTCTATTGTTTGTATTAAGAGGGAAATTGGCACTTTCCCTCTATGTATACATATTTCACTCTTCTGCAGATAGAATACAAAATAGGCTTTCTCAATCTGAATGACCCTCCCCAGGGCCTTCCTTGTAGAAGGACACACTTTCCAGGAATCAGGCCTGTTTGCAAAAACCAGTTTGCAAAAGCCAGTTTGTCAAATGACCATTTGGTTGACTGACCCATCCCAGACAACTGAGAATGTTTTGGATGTTTTCTGCCCATCTCCCAGCCAGAAGTGGTGACTTTGCCAGCCCAGACCCAGCAAGTGCAGTTTTGTGCCCAGGAATGTCTGTGCCTAGCATGTTCACAAAAGTGGCTTCCCTTAGAGGCTGTTCCCTGTGTGGGTTTTCCTGGACTTGCCTTTTGCCTCTTATACTGCTGACAGAGTTATCCTCACTGATGCCCTTGACCAGGTTAAAAGACCCTGACAATTTGGGACGGACTGGCCACTCCCAGACAGGTTTCTGGCTAACTCATTTCTTGGTGAGTTGACTTCCAGTTGTTTTCACCTCCCTACCAGGTAGGTAGGACTCAGTGACCTAAAAGACAATACTCATACATTCAGCCTAACTTTCAGGACTCCTGTGGTGTCTTCCCTTTACTGGCAGCTCAGCAGGGCAAGCATCTCCTTCCAGAACACTCTGTGTTCACCCCAGCTTGCACAGATCCACCAGCGTTTACTGTGTGCATCTCCTCCCAACTCTGCATTCAGTGGTATCACACTAAAATGAGCAAGAATTGGCTCCCAAGCTGATGATAAAATATTGACCTGCAAAAAAATAAATCCTGTCTGCCCATCCCTTCTGAAGTTTAGAGAAGCCTTCCTTAACTCCAGGAGCTCCTAGTGGTTGCTTCCTGCCCTGAATTCATATGGCAGCTGGCCACCTGGCATTTGTGTGTACTGCATACACTCATGTGTGTGCCCTTAATGAAGACAAAGTTCAGTAAATGAGAAATGGTTCTTGGGGGTCAAAATATTATGAATAAAAGCTGTTATAGGAAATTGTTGTTCACCAAAGGACCATTGCACATGTGCAGATACATGGTACATTTGAGAAATAAATTTCATGGAGCAAGGAGCCCAGATAATTAGGGAAAAAATATAAAAGACCCATTGGGAATCAGGTGAAAATGTTCTTTGGCATTTAATACACACAAATGTGTAAGATAATTCCAAATTTAGAAGTCATTATGAGATATAATCTAAATATATGGGAAATGATTAAATTTTTAAAATGTATTACTATAATATACACTTGGCCTTGATTCCTGGTACAAAAAAAGAAAGAGACAGAGAGAAAGAGAGAGAGAGAGGAAACCAGACGCAAATAATAACCCTAGCTTCAAGCTTCCTTATCCTACTATTATTGTTACTTTCTGAAGCAGTTCTGTTTTTACCAGGTATGACAAAAAAAAAAAAAAAAAAAAATGACAAATTCTGCTGCCAAGTGGCAGCCAACAGAAATGCAGGCTCATAAAGCAATAGTGTATCCTTATCTACTCTATTCATTGGATCTGGAGCCATGGGACTTCTGGTTTTTCCCCAAAGTCAAAATGACCATGAAAGGTAAAGTTTTTGAATCGATTCAGGATATAGAGACAGCCACAACAATGTGAATAAAGACATTCCTGGAAAGGAACTTCTGCAACTGCTTCACATAGTGGCAAGAATGATGGGATAATTATGTTCAAAGCAAGAGAGAATAATATGAGGGTGATTCGTGTATCTTTTACTGAAGTCATTTGTTAAAAAGTTCTAAATATTCACTGTATTTTTCAATCATACTTACTTTTGGGAAAATATGCAGGTTTCTTACATTATGGGTTGAAGGTTTGTTTTTTAAGTATTGTACTGGGGATCAGTGTAGCTACCACTGAGCTACATTTTCAGCCCTTTTTGTAAATTTTAAAATTTTGAGACAGGGTCTTGCCAAATTGCCCAGACAGGATCCAATCTTGGAATCCTTCTGTCTTATCTTCCTGAAATTCTGGAATTACAGACATGCACCAACATCCCAGACTTGAATGTGATTTTTAGATGTTTAGGTTGGGGGAATTTTACATTGTTCATGCACAATGCAGACCCTACAGGTAGAGAGGAATGCTAGAACTTCCTTCTGCTGTTACTCAGCAGTGCATGGGACAGTGAAAATGCTCCTCTCACCCATAGAAATGGATCACAGTTGCCACCACCACCAGGGAGGAAAGACCTGGAAGTTTTCCTCTGTGGCATTGGCTGCTGTCTGGGAGCAACCACAGGAAACCAAAGCTGAGGCCTCCACGGGTCCAGGCTTTGCTTCCTTCTGCTGTAGATGGAGCAGAGGACACCCAACAGCCCAGGAAGCAACAAGGACCACTACTTTGTGAGAAACAGTCACCAAGATGACAGAGAATCCAGGTTTGGTGGCACATGCCTGTAATCCCAGTACTAGGGAGGCTAAGGCAAGAGGATTGTCATGGGTTTGATATTAGCCTGTATCTCAAAAAACCAAAAACACACAAATGAACAAACAAAAAGATGAGAGAAATTTCAGCAAACAGTGAAAATCCAGCAGCTATGGTGCTAAGACCATCCCAGAAAATATATAATTCATAGAGAAAAACCATTCTTGGAGTAAGCCTCCAAGATAAGCACACAGCTATTGCCACACATATTTAATAACGGGGATGCTTGAGGGGATGAGGTGGGGAGTTCTCCTAGACACCAGGATCCACTACAGCCCTGCTAAAACTTCAGCACAACTGTCCCAAGGAAAGGGCCCGAGAGCTCCAGTGTTCACCATACCCATGACTGGACAGGATTGTACAGGATAGTTTACAAGGCTTCAAGTATTTTAAAGGACTATAAGATTTTTTTTAAATTGTGTGCAATGTTCACTTTAAGGCACAGAGATTTGAGAATGAAAGCACACTCAGAATGGGTTGGCAATGTCCATGTGTCATTTCATTTGGCCCTCAGCAGTCACCAAGTGCCACCATGTACAATAGCCAGGTTTGAGCAACTCTAGGACCACTTAGCCAATGCATGGCACTTCCTTACACCATCTCACATGTGTTTTCATATTGAACCTCATCATTTCCTGGAGGGCAAGGATGGTGACAGGTGTATCACACACCCCAGCATAGCTGAGGGCAGATGACCTGGGGATCCATTGAACTGAGTTGCCAGAACCTTTTCAGCATCCTCCCCCTTTAGTGATCACACTCTCTTCTCAGATAGTTTGAAGCACAGTTAATCCAATAGCCTTTTAATGCTGCAGTAGTAACAAGGCCAGACTGCAAGTTGAAGGCCACCCAAGCGAGAATGCTTCCTTGTCTCGATCCCAAACTCAAGTTCTGTAACCATGCCCAAGACAACTACAGAGTCCCAAGGACTTTGGTTAATGTATTGAAATAAAATCCCCTTACCTTCTGGCCAGTCCAAAGTCAATGATTTTAATTTGGTGTCCTGTCTGGCTGACACACAGTATGTTCTCTGGCTGGAAAAGAAGAAGTACGCTTATCCCAGTGTGCAACCAAGGAGTTCTAGGTATGCCACAGCTACAAGCTTCAGTTTCCTGTCTCAGGTGTCAACATTGGGCTCAGGGGTACCGTTGGGGCTTACACAGATAAATACAGTGGATACAGTGGGTAGGCTCACTGTGACCTGTGGGCGTCACAGGATAGTCACAGCTCAGGAGTGCAGGCACAAGAGCCACTTCTTGTCCTTCAGGGAATCCAGAAATGGAATGTTTCTATGTGTGTGAAAATTCAGGCTTTTAAACTCACCTGTATCACTGTGGAAGCCAAATCTAAAACCTCTGTGGTACACTTTTGGCTCAGGATGACACATGAAGATTGTGAGGGAAGCTTAAAAAGTCCTCATGCCCAGGTCCCAGCCCTGATCCATGATGTCAAAATCACACCAAGGAAGCCAGAGCACCAGGTATGGTGCAGGAGAGTAGAGTTGCTAAATGCCAACCTGCCAATTTGCAGTGACAGCCATGACTGAGCAGGTGGGGATGGTGGCCTTGATGTGGGTCTTCTTGGCCTTTCAGATCAACTGAGAGACCCCAAGAGAGCCTGAGATGATACTCGAGTAACTGTTAACATATTTTTTATTTCCCTAAAATTTGCTTATATTAAGAATTTTATATAAATGAAATCATAAAATATACAGCCTTTTTGTGTCCAGCATCTTTTACTGGCATACTGTTCTCATGTTTCATCCATATAATATTCATTCTTTTTCATGTCTAAATAATGTCTCATTATAGGGGTATACCATATTTTATTTATCCATTCATCAGTTAATGAACGTTCATGTTGTTTCTACTTTTTGGCTATTATGAATCACACTGCTAAGAACGTTTGTATATAGGTTTTCATGTATATGTTTCAATTCTCTCAAGCATATATCTAGGAATGAAGTTGTAGGATTGTATGGTAATCCTACTTTTAGTATTGTTAGGAATTGTCAAACTGGCTTTATGGTTTTTTTAAATTTTATTTTAAAAAGAAAAATAACAAAATTTCAAAACATAATTAGAGGGTAACAATGGTAAATATAATTGCATATTGTTCTCTTTAAGTTAGTTAGAGTATAAGATATCTACATTTAATTGTCTATTCTTTTCAATGAACTAAAAGAAATTAGTAAGTATAGCTATCTTAACTATTATTTATACATATATACATACACATATATTATTTCTTTCAGTTTTTCACACTAGGGAGACATACGATGTTTACACACGTGAGTCTGATTTATTTCATTTATGAGTATGGTCTCTAGTTGTGGGTGTACAATATCACAGTCTTGCCAATAATGTATGAATGTTCAAATGTCTCCATATCCTAGCTACCACGTTTGTCATTTTTGTTTTATTCAGTCTAGGGGTTATGAAGTGGTATCTCATTATTGTTTGATTTACATTCTACTAATGACCAATGATGTTGATAATCTTTTCATGTGCTTTTTGGCTTATTGTGTATCATTAGTGGATATATATTTATTCAAATTCTATCACTACTTCTTTGTCTCTCCCGCCCCCTCCAATGCTGGGAACCAAACCCAGGCCTTACACATGCTATGCAAATGCATTAGCATTGAGCTACACCTCTGGCTCATTTCACTATTTTTAATTGACTTGTCTTTCTATTATTGAGGTTAAGGCTTTTAAAAAATGTATTCTAGATATAAATCTCTTATTTGGTATCTGATTTGGAAATATATTCTCCTACTTTGAAGGCTGTCATTTCACATTTTTTGTTTCCTTGTGATATTGGGAATTGAATGCAGAGCCTTTCCAGTAAGCTATATCTCCAGTCTTTTTATTTTTATTTTGGGACAAGGTCTCACTAAGTTGATAAACTGCCCAAACTTCACCAAAATTTAGCTAGGCAGTGATCCTCCTGTCTGAGCCTCCCAAAGTGCCAGAATTACAAGCATGCATCGTCATGCCTAGCTCCCAAGGTTTTATCTTTTAAAGCCATTTCATTCTTAAAGAGCATCTCAGACCCTGAGTTTTCCTCAGAAATTTTTGATCAGTGTTTAGATTTCAGGAAATTTGTAGTTGAGAAGTAAATATACATTGCTTCAAATGCACTGAAATTTTCTCAGTAATTGTGTCATGGTTTATGTCTGTGGCCCCCAGACCTCATGAGTTTGCATTGTTCATTTGTGATGGTTCATTGTATAGTGCTTGGATTGATGGTGTCAGTGCTCCACCCACATAGGGGTGGAGCCAGGAAGTGATGTAATGGCAGGAAGAAGGTGTGTCTTGCTCTTTGCTGGCTCCTGCTTTGCCATTTGCAGCTGTCATGAACTGCAGCCCAACCATGCCTGCCTGCCTTGGAGCCAACTGAGTGTGGACTGAAACCTCCAAAAACTGTAAGAAATAAACCTTTCCTTTCCCAACTTTGGGCTTCAGGTATTTTGTCTCAGCAACGAGTAAAAAGTAACTAAGACAAATTGAATCAACTATCAGTATATACATATAAATTAATTAAAATTAATAAGATTGAAAATTCCTCAATCACAGTAATCACATCTCAAGTGATTGTTGCAAGCAGTTGGTGGCTGCTAAATTGGAAAGCACAGCTCCTGAGCACTTCCTCGGTTTTCTAACCCACAGGACACACAGTAGCTAGTAGCTGTGTTACTCTCTCCACTTCACAACTGATAAGTTTAAAGAATTTCCTCAAAGTTCACAACCAGACATTAGTTAATCAAGACCAGTCTTGCTCTGGGCTAGGAAATGGGCCTCAGCAACATTGCAAGGTCACAGAAATTACCCAAAATCTGGTATTAGACTCAGAATTAGAGCAGATTCCTGAATTTTCCCTACTGCCCACCCCATAAAGGCTTGTCCAGAAGGCTTGGAATTAGCTCCAGTGAGCAGAAGGCTAAGGCAAACTCCTCATCAGACCCACCTATCTTCTCATATCCCAACCTTACAGTCTGATGCCAATCAAAAAAGACAGAATGAGAAACGTGGACCACTACTGGTATGGCATTACTGCCCTTCTAATGTAAGGAGCCACTGAAATGCACCCCTTCCTGAGATAGGTTGTGGAGAAATGTTCTGTTGGCTCCACAGATCAGAAAAATCATAGAAAGCACCAACATGTAACAAGTGTTTATTACCATGGGGGAACTGCACAGGACTCTATATGCAGGACATGCCTATGGCACTTCTGGGAGACAAAAGGAAATGCAATGCATTCATTTAACTGAGTATCACTTGACCCTTCAAAAAAATGAGGAAAGATGTCTACAGTGCACTGAAAGAAGCAAGATTAAAAATGAGACGCATCATAAGATATCCACTGTGTGCTTGTGTGTGACACCAGGCTAGCGGCTCACAGAGAGGACTTCTCTACATACAGACAGGGTGGAAAAACCTCCCACTGTGATATTTTAATATTTCCTAGATCTGTTACCACAGCATGAGTTCCTTTAGAATTCTTAAAACAAAACTAATCTTAAAGATATTTTTTAAGAGAAAAAAGATCACCGTATCCTTTAATCCTCCAATGACACTTTAAAACATTCAATTTCCCACAAGCTACAAACAGAAGAACCAAGACTCAGAGAGGAGCACCACTGACTAAGCCCAGACTTCAGAACTAGACCATGGCAAAGACAGGGCAGAGCCAGTGCTGTTGACAGAGGTCTCAGCCATGAGGTGCATCAGGGGCTCGGGACCTGGGGAGCCCACATTCCATATGCCAAAGACAAAACCCACCTTAAGGTCTAGGTGCAGGATGTAGTGCTGGTGGAGGTAATGTACACCCTCACAGATCTGCCTGGTAAACAAGACCACATCCAGTTCTGTCAGGTGATAGTTTTCATCTGTGATCCGGTCAAAGAGTTCACCCCCGTCCACACTGCCAGAGAAAATGAGAAGCAAGCACCAGGCTGAGCAGAGCTCTGAAAGCTTGTCCATTGTTTTCAACAAAAGAGATGGCCTACATGAAGTCAAGGCTGGTCACAGCAGAAGTCACAGGGCTGCTGCCATCACCATCTGGGGTTGTGTCAGGACTTTGCTCAGGCCATTTCAGCAAAGAGTTCAGGGGGTAAAAAAGGATATGAGGGTCTAAAGGAAACAAAGATTGTCTCACTCTGGATAATCTAGGCCAGGGTTGCAAATTTATTTGCCAGTGAAGGCAATGAATACTTACAGGATAAGGAAACAAAGTTGACTGATTAAATGTGGTATGAAAGCTTTCTGAAAATATACCGTCTTTAATCTATCTTTTGTTTTTCCACTTTTGACAGATACATGGCATGACAAATATTTCCTTGTCAGAAGAAAAAAGCAATAAAAATATAAAAATAAGTGGCCTGTGGTCCCATGACCTCAGAGCCAGGGACAGGCCCCTGAGGCAGTGGTAGGGTTTGTGGTTATGGGAAACCAGTGGCTCTGTCTACAAAAGACAGCCACCGTGAGCTCCAGCAACACTTACAGCCGGAGATGCCAGTCAAACATTACTGTCTAAATGTCCAGATTCTATTGTCTATCTCTTTCAATTTCCAAATGTTATCAGTTAAAATTCTATAATCACTAAAGCTTTCTAAATTTAATTCCTAATTTTAATTTCTAGATTTTTCTAAGTTTCTTAAAAATTACTAAAATTCTTTTAAGCTAAACTGATATAACATCTGCAGGTCAAAGCAAGCTCAATGACCACTAGTTTGTGTGGCTTTGTCCTTTACATTCTATACCAGAATCCAAGCAACGGAGCCCAAGAAATGGGATTGGCATGACATAGCACTGGGTCTCCCAGGAGGGGAAAGGAAAGACAGCTGTGCCTGCAGTGAAACCCTGGGAGAAGAAACCACCACCCCACCTCTGTGGCACTCACTACTCCATGACAAGGGTAAAGCTGTTCTTGCTCTCAAAGGCATCGTAGAGCTGGATCAGGTTCACGTGGTTGAGCTGGTTCATGATATTGATCTCATTCTTCACATCCTCCTTGTGGAAAAAGAAGAGGAATCCCAGCAGACAGGTCAGGAAGATGAGCCAGCTGGCCCTCCCAAGACAGCTGGACTGACAAGCACACACCCCTCATCCTGGATGCCCACTGTCACATCAAGTCTCCTTGACTCCCTGCCCACCTGCATTCTCACAAAAGGAAAGGACCTCAGCTCAGCTCAAGCCTCCTGAATCCCCACAAGAAACCTGCAACCCAAGAAAGAAAAGGGCCTTGTTGTCTACAGGCCCACAGGCAAAGCCATGCCAGACCCCCACATATGCAGGTGTGGGTCTAGACCAAAGAGTGTGAGGCCACTTTCAGAGCAGGGTCGGGGAATCATGGGAAAGAGGTGGAAAAAGCAGAGGATTCCTGTTTAGCATAGAGGGGGCTATGAAGGGTGTAAAGGAGACCTGAGCTGGGCTACAAGGACCTGGCTGGCCAAGGGCAGCTGGCTCACCCTGTCCTTGGCACTCTTCACTTTGATGACCTTGGCAGCCAGTGGGAGGCCCGTGGACTTCTCCGTGCACTTGTGGACCTGGCCGAACCGGCCCCTACAGAGACATATGGACACAGAAGGCTAAGAGAATGAGGAGAGACCACAGGCAAGCCCTGTCCCATGGGGACTGGTCCTGCTCCCTCTCCACATACCAGGCAATGATTCTAGGCTCAGGGCATGCTCTGGCCATCGCCCCTACCACATGGGCTATGCTGAGCCCTTGAAAATAACTCCTTCGGGCTGGGGATTTAGCTCAGCGGCATAAGCGCCTGCCTTGCAAGCAGACAGTCGTGAGTTCGATCCCCGGTACCGATAAAAAGGAAAAAGACAAAAAAAAAAAGAAAATAACTCCTTCAACATGTGGTTTACCTCAAACCCTAAGGGAAGCCCTCCTGATTCCACTTCAGATGGGCTCTCCTGTATCCCAGGGAATGCCCCCTTACCTCACCCGCACCATAGGGTTCCTTCTCCCCTCCAGTGGACATCCTGCTCGCTGTGATCATGCCAACTCTGCTGTCACCTCTCCGACCCCCACTGGGGAGCCCTCCTACACCTCCAGAATGTAGGACTGTCCCATATCTTGGGGTGACTCTTCATCCCACTCTCTATGGGCTGTCCCTTACTGTCTCACTGGAGGATTCTGCATCTGAGGCTGAGAATCATCCCACGGGCCCCTTTACTGCTCCTGTGCTTGCTCCCACCCCAGCAAGGCAGACATCCACCTACCCGCCCAAGACCTGGTGCTGGCACACTGTGTAGCCCGCAGAGATTGGAGTCTCCTTGACACTCACCACCCGGTGTTCAAAGGGGGCTCCAGGGGTTGGGCTGTCATCTGTTCAGGAGAAAAGGGACCTGTGACCCTCCTATATGCACACACCTCTTCCAAACCCGCTGTATTATACCTCACTTGGTTTCCCAGCCCTGGCATTTGAAAGCCCCATTCTCAACAATCACCTCAGTGAGCCTCTTCTTTGGCAGAGATGGAAGCTGAGAAGTAAGCAGACACATCAGGGGCCACACAATGAGCCAGAGTTGATGGGATTCAAACCCAGGTCTACCAGCCTCTAGGACAGTACTGTTTGCAAAGCTATGAAGTCACATCCCATGTGTTCATCCTAGATGGATCAGTGCAGTCGGAGGAAAGGGCACATCCTAGAACAGGGTCAGTGAGCAGAGTCTAACACTGGGACTTTTTTTTCAGAGGTAAACATTCTACCATGGAGCTATATCACCAGCCTCTTCTACTGTATTTTCCTTTTGAGATAGGGTCTCACTGAATTTCCTAGGCCTGGCTTCCTGTTGCAGTCCTCTCCGTAAGTCTTCCTGAGTAGCTGGGATCAGATGTGCACTACTGCACCCAGCTGCCGAGATTGTCTTCAAAGGTAAAGTACTGCTATGGAAGTCACCAAGGACAGTGCAAAGGGGAAGCAGCTAGAGAAATCCACGTGATGCCCTCCCCTCTCCTTCACTCTTGGTCTCCTGACAACTATCCCCGTCAGACATTAGAGAGCAAGAGAGCCAAGAGGGAGCCCACAGAAGGCAGAGCTGGGACATGGGACAGGGAAGGGGAAGGGACAGTGGTCTGCAGGGGGAGAAAAGGACAGCTAGCACTCAGAAAGGCAAAAGTGATTTAGGGCTTTATAAAAAAAAAATCATGTGCTTCAGAGATGATATAAATATCTAGAAGTATTACATGATTAAGGAATAAAGCAGAATCCAGTACGTGAACCAAACACAATGATGTGAAGCAGTTTATGTGAGAGGGCTGGGAGATATGGCAGCAGGAGGCCAGTGGCTCACACTGGCACTTGTTCAGGACTGTCCTGGACACCCTCTTGGTTCTCCACTACAAGGGTCACCCAGAGCCCGAGGTGCTCAAACCTGTGGGTCACAAGAACACGAGGATGCCTCTCACCCCTGCACCACAAGCAGGTCCACAGCCTCGCCACCCTCTCATCCTTGTGGGAATGCACTCTCTGGGTGGGAACAGCTGAGAACGGTCATACATGCCAGGTGGTGTCTTTATTTTTTAACAGGAGCTTTCTCTGTCTCAATGAAAAAATGATTTCAATACCAGAAAGCCGAAGAGGCAGGCAGGTAACTTTAAAAAGTCCACCATGTTGGGCCACATGGGTCCTCTCCTTCTCTACCACCACAGCCAATCTGATTTCCACCCTTTGCACTCCTGCAGCCCTAGGAAGACCGACAGGCTGTTTGCATGTCTTGGACTGCCCATGTTCCACAAGACTCACCCCTGGAATCAGCAGGAAAACCCATGGCACAGCCTCCCCACATTGTGGAGCCAGGAAACAGCCTTGCTTACCCAGAACTGTGCTGCCAGCCTCTGCACCCGGGGGTGACTGCCCTCCTGCTCCAGCTCTCCCCAGGCCTCCAGCTGTGAGGACCCTCACAGGATCCAGGGGTCTCGCTCCTGGGCTTATTTCCTGCTGTATCCCCAGGGCCTCAGCAGCAGCATCTCCCTTGTCTCTTCTGGCCATACTCCGTCCTGTGATGGGCTCAGCACCAGACCACTGTTTCTCTTCGTCCACTGCGTGGTTGCTCGTCCTAGGCAGTGGGGAGATGCTCCCAGCTCCTCGAAAAGTTTGCTCTCCTGACTCAGTCCCAGTGGCCTGGGCATAGCACGTGGCCTCAGGCAGGTCCTGCTCACCTGGACAGGCAGCCACTGGAGCCTCTGCAGGGAGAATGGGTCTAAGGCTGCCCCCTCGTGTCACCAGCAGTTCCACAGGAGTATCCATCTGGTGCACATGAATGGAGATCCTAGAGTGGAGAGAAACAGGGCCTGGGGGTTAAAAGCAAGAACTGCAGTCAGAAGAGACCTGGGTTCAAGGGCCATTGCTACCAGTCACTACAGTGCCCCTTGGCCTCAGTTCTCCATGGATAAAATGGTGCCCTACGGTTGTACAGTGTTAAAACAGTAAGAGTCTTCTTGTGACTGGAACCAACAGACTGCAACTTCTGGACCAGACAGGACAGAGGGAAGGGCCCAGCTCAGGGATGGATAGTGCTGTCAGCTCTCAGGTAAGGGTCTAGGGAAGGCTGGAGATAGATATGCTCTGGTGAACAAGGTGAGAGTCAGGTACCTCTGAAGCTCCTGGAATGTGCTTCTGCCCCAGATTGTGGCCTGCAGGTGGGAGTCCTGGTTCTTCCCACCCTGCTGTGGGCCTCAGTTTCCCTTTCAGTTAAATGAAAAGAAGGAAGAACACAGTCCATTATCACACAGGAAGCCCAGGTCTGACAATATCATGCAAATTCTCAAAAACAATTGGACTTTCTGTTTTTTACCCATTTTTTAAATTTTAAAAACAAAACCAAAAAGGGATAAAAAGATACAGAATTTCAAAAACAGTAGGAATTGACACTAGTTAATATATTGCATATTGTTATCTTCAAAGTAGTTTTTTAGATTACAAGATTTAGGCATAAAAAATGATCAGTCAGTCAGTGAAAATACAAATTTCTTTTTGAAGAGCTAATAGACGTTAGCAGTATAGTTACCTATCCTGTATATGTTTACATACACACTTATGTGTGTGTGTGTGTACATATACATATATATAAAATCTTTTTCCTTTCTTTCTTTTCTCCTTTCCCCTATCCGAGTTGTTCTTTCCTTTGAACATTTTCTTTCCCTTTCATTATCACAAAATCTATTGTACATCGTGGATCCTATTTAATTTTGCTTTTTACACTAGGGAGACTATGATATTTATACATGAGAGTCTGATTTATTTCACTTATTAGTATAGTCTCTAGTTGTATCCATTTACCCATAAAAGCCTCAAGTTTATCCTTCTTTATAACTAATACTCTATTGTATAAAAATACATCTCTTTTATTTATTCCATGATTGATGGGCATTTAAGTGGTTTCCAAGGTTTAGCTATTAGAAATTATGTTGCTATAAACATGGGTATACATATATTGCTGTGGTGTATGATGTTTTTAATTCTTCTGGGAAGATACCAGAAGGGGAATAGCTGGGTCAATGCTCTAATGCTAATTTTTTGAGGAATCTTCACACTGATTTCCACAGGGGTGGTACCAGTCTACACTCCCACCAACCATGGAAAAATGTTCTTTTTCTCCACAGCCCCTCTAGCATTGTTATTGGTTGATTTCTTGCTGATAGCCTTTCTTTCTGGAGTAAAAGGAATCTCAGTGATGCTTTAATTAGCATTTCTCATGTTGAACACTTCTTTATATATTTATTTGCTATTTGTATTTCTTCATCTGAGAGATGCATGTTCATCTCAGATGCCCATTTTTGGATTGGGTCTTTGAATTTTGGGGGCCTGATGTTTTTCAGTTCTTTATATGTACTAGATAGAAGTCCTTTATCTGAAGGACAGTTGGCTGAATTATTTTTCCACTCTGTGGGTTTTCTTATCACTCTTTTGGTAATTTCTTTTTATGTGCAAAAACTTTTGAATAAGATAAGGTCCCAGTTGTTCATTCTTTGAAGTACTTCCTGTGCAGTTTGGATTTTGTGTATCAATTCTTTGCCTATCCCTATGTCTTCAAGATTTCTACCTACCTTGCCTTCCAGTAGAGTTCATGTTTCTGTTTTAATATTTAGATCTTTGAATCATTTTAACTTTCATTTAGTACATGGTGATAGACATGGGTCCAGCTTTAGTCTTTAGCATGTGGAAAGCCAATTTTTCTGGCACCATTTATTAAAAAGGCTGTTTTTCTTCCAGTGAACTTGTTTGGCCCCTTTGTCAAAGATAAGGTGTCTGTATCTTATAATCTGTTCCACTAACCCAGAGGTCTGTATTTTGCCAGTACCATGCTGATTTTATCATAATAGCTTTGTAGTATAATTTCAAGTCAGAGATTGTGATGCCTCCAGCTTAATTTTGTTTCCCAGGATTGCCTTTGTTATTTTAGGTCTCTTTGGTTTCCAAATAAATATTTGGAATCTTTTTTTCTCTAGATCTGTGAGGTATGCTAATGGTATTTTGATGAGAATTCTGTTAAATTTCTGTAACAGTTTTGGGAGTATGGCCATTTTCATATCATTGGTTCTTCCTATCCAAGAGGAAGGGATATCTTTCCATTTTCTTTTTTTTTTTTTTAGCCAGTCAAATTTAGCAGTGGGGGGGGGGCTGGTATACCAACTTTAGTGACACTATTGTTAATAAGTTCTGATAACCCACTGCCATTGGACCAGCCTATCTTTCCATTTTCTGAAATCCTCTTCAATCTCCTTCTTCCAATTACTATAGTTTTCAATATATAGATCTTTTACATCGTTTATTAGATTGATTCCTAAGTATTTTTTTGGATGCTATTGCAAAAGATTATTTCAATAATTTATCTTTCAGTGAGTTTTCTATTAGCTTTTTCATGTTGATTTTGTATCAAGCTATACTGCTGAATTTGCTTATTATCTCTAGATAATATCTCCAGGGGAGTTTTGGGGGTCTTCTATGTAGAATATCATATCATCTGCAAATAATGATAATTTAACTTCTTCCTTTCCTGTCTATATTTCTTTTATTTCTCGCTCTTGTCTAATTACTCTGAATAACGTTTCCAGAAATATATTGAATAGGAGTGTTGCTAATGGACATCCTTGTCTTGTTCCTGATTTTAGAGAGAAAGCTTTCAGTTTTTTTCCATTTAGTATGATGTTGGCTGTTGGTTTATCATAGATGACTTTTATCAGATTGAGATTGAGATCATCCAATCTGATTTTCTACAGGGTTTTTGTTAAGAATGAGTGTTGGACTTTATCAAAAGCTATTTCTGCATCTATTGAGATGACCATGCGATTTTTTAACTTTGGTTTTGTTGATATGGTGTATTATATTTATTGATTTGCATATGTTGAACCATCTCTGCATTGCTGGGATGAATCCCACTTAGTTATGGTGTATAATTCTCTTGATAACTTGTTGCATTCTGTTTGCTAATGTTTTATTGAGTATTTTTGCATCTATGTCTATTAGGGAGATAGGCCTATAGTTTTCTTTTGTGGTTGTGTCTTTCTCTGGTTTAGGTACCAGAGGAATAGTTCCCTCCAAGAATGAGTTAGTGGGGCTGGGGATTTAGCTCAGTGGCATAAGTGCCTGCCTTGCAAGCAGGCAGTCGTGAGTTCAATCCCTGGTACCCATAAAAACGAAAAACAAACAAACAAAAAAAATGAGTTAGGGAGAATTGCTGCCCTTTCAATTTCGTTAAAGAGTTTGGGAAGTATTGGCATTAAATCCTCTCTAAGTTTCTTGTACAATTCAGTTCTGAATGCATCAGGACCTGGGCTTTTCTTTATTCATAAGTTTTTAATTACATTTTCAATTTTAGTAACTGATATTGGGTGTTTCAAAATTTTTATATCTTCTTGACTCAGCTTTGGTAATTTATATGTTTCTAGGATTCTCCCCATTTCTTCTGTGTTTTCCAGCCTATGTAAGTAAAGATTTTCAAAGTAGGTACTGATGATCTTCTGAATTTCCATAGGATATGTAGTAATTTCACCCTTTTCATTTTCATCGAATGAATTTCAGCTTTTTTTCTTTCCTTTTCTTGACAAGCTGGGTAAGGGGGATATCAATTTTGTTTATTCTTTCAAAGGACCAACTCTTCAATTCATTAATTTGTTGTATTGCTTTTTTAGTCTCTATTGCATTAATTTCTGCTCTGATTTTTGTAATTTCCTCCCTTCAAAGAGATTTGGTCTTGACTTGCTCTCTTATTTTTCTAGAAGCTTGAGGTGCCACATGAGATTGTTTATATATTCTTGCTCTGTTTTCCTGATGTGAGAACTCATTGCTATGTATTTCCCTCTTAGGACTGCTTTCATTGCATTCCACAGGTTCTGGTATGTTGTATTTGCATTTTCATTTAATTATAGATACTGTTTACTTTGTTCTTTAATTTCATTTATGATCCATTGGTTGTTCAGGAGTGTTTTGCTTAATTTCCATGTGTTTGTGTAGGTTTTACAGGGGGTCTTGCCATTAACATCCAATTTTGTGGCAGTATGGTCAGATAATATGTACTGGATAATTTCAATCCCTTTGCATTTACTTAAGCATATTTTATGGGCTAGTATATAGCTATTTTAAAGAATGTCTCATATTCAATGGAGAAGAATGTGTACTCTGATGTTTTTGAGTGGAGAACTCTGTACACATCCAGTAAGTCTATTTGTCCACAAGTTTGATTCAATTCTATTATTGTTTTTTCAGTATTAAGGCCCCCCATTACAATTTTATTATTGCATATTTGATTTTTCATGTCTATTAGAATTTGTCTTATATAGTTGGGTGCTCCCATATGTGGTGCATATATATTTATGGCTGTTTTCTCTTCCTATTGAATTTTTTCCTCTAATAAGTAGGTAGTAACCTTCTTTAGCATTTTTAATCATTTTAGGTTTGAGGTTCACACTAGGTACAAACAATAGTTGTCCTTGTTTTTTTTCTGTGTTTCTGTCATATGGAGTATTTTTTTCCATTTTTAAATTTTCAGTCTATGAGTTTCTTTTTGAATTAGATGTGTTTCTTGTGTGCAGCATAGTGTTGGTTCTTGTTTCTTGATCCATTCTGCTAATCTATTTCTTTTCATTGGCAAATTGAGGCCATTTACATTGGTGGTTGCAACTGATTTGTACTGGTTTCTCTTTGTCATGTTGCTTTCCTATTGTTGGTTCCCTGGTTTTCCACTTTGTTTAATTGCTTTCCCTGCCTGGTAGTTTCTTTCTGTTGTTGTTCTTGGAACTGTGGTCTCTCTCTATCTAAAATATCTTTCAG